TCCGGAAGACCAACCCTTACATCGGGCATGTTTGGATAACTAGTCAAACCGATCCATTTTATTTAACTGAGAACTGGAAAATTATGCTAAGAATCAGCTCAGTCAAATATGTTGCCCAATGCAGTCATTGTTCGAGAGTGAAGTATTAGTTGATCGATGGGTTTAATAAACGGAAGTTATTAATGAATTCCTTGTAGATAGTATGTATTAGACCTGTGCAGAAATAAGTGTTGGTTACAATAATGGATTTGGAGATGGAATTTGGGAATAATTGTTCTCGGCTGTGACTTGCACGATGGGTTTCTTGATACATGATTGACTCTAGTGGTTGCACAGAGTGCGTCTTATGAATCCGTTTAAGCGACTGTATGCGTCGGCCGAAATGAGTGATTAGAGTTGTTAGATTAACCACCTATTCTTCCACCAAGTGCCTAATTTTTCTTCAGGAATTGAAGAAAATCCTTTGGCTGCTTCACCGCAAGCTTTTCCCGTTAGGCAGGCAGTCTGCTGAATTTCTGGGTGCTGGCACATCAGACTCATCGTCGTCGGAGTCAGGGGTAATAGAAGGCAAGTTATTTATTTGATTGATTTAAATCCCTTTCTTTTCCATGCTATAAAATCATCAGTGAATTATAAATGAATATGAAATTTTTTATTAGCACAACGGATTTTATGTACAGTCAGGTTAAGTGATACAATGTATAGTAATATTTTTTGAAGTTGCTGTCAATTTCTTAAACCATTTGTTGATTGAACAGCTTTCAGTTTATCTTAAACAAAAAATGAAAAATCCCCGATTGCTGCTGGAAAGATTGAAGCTGGATGTACGATGTCCCGATGTCACTGAAGGATGTTTGGTGAGAAGGGGGCGGTGCTCTGCGGAAGTTAGGATATATTGAGGGTGAACTTAAGCCGATGATAGCGTTTGAGCGTTGATTTCAAATCTCGTATGCATTCATTTTGGTTTTAACATATGTTGAGCCTTTTTTCACTTATGACTTAATTGGTCCCGTTGCAGCAAAGCGACATCCTGCAGCAGTTAGACCCTATACCATCCGGACTGGGCTGACAGCAAACAACACTGAACTCCCTTCTCAAAAGTATGTTCATTTCATTCATTTGTAATGTAAGTTTAGCTATAGGATCAATGACGTAGATATAAATGCAGCAGTATTTTATTAGGAGTTCTGTACTAAGAATAACTCAAAGAGCATTCCATAGGAAATTGTTGATTGAAAGACTGATTCAGGGTTTTGAATGGTTTTTATTGGTAATTAAACGTATATATCCCCAGCTTGTGCACCAGCTGTGAAACGCACATTCCGGAAATTCTTGCCACTATCCGCTCCATGCAGTCAATCTGCAGTGACACGAATTTGGTGGTCAATGAGCTGCGCGACCAGCGCCTTACGAGCGCACAACGTCCGGCCTGGCCCAACCTTCAACCCGCGTCAACTGTTGAAGAATTAGAAGAGTTGATGAATGATGATTATTTGGTGGGTTGTGATGATTTAAGGCTTTCAAATGGCTTTCTTTATAAAGTACCTTTATTGACCGCCGAGTATGAATGCCAAGTTATTGACCATCGAGCGGGAACACTTGATTCATATTTGTCGCGCGACTTATCGTTACCATATATTTAAGCTCCGACTGTTAAAGTGTTAAATTTAAGTGCAGCTTTCTCTTAGTGTATGCCAAGTTTTGCCAATTTCTCAATTACTTAATTCTGGGATGGTAATAAAGCCAGTAATTGTGCCTGATGGTCCAGCTAACAATCATGGCGGCACTACAACCATATTCGGTCGATTTTTACTTAGATGTTTTAATATGGACCTATTTAGTATGAGATCTATGTACTACTTGATGGTTTTATATATTATGAAAATGTTTATAGGTTGAAAGGCTTGCCGACGCTGAGCATTCGTCCCTGCAGTCGACTGTCAAAGGCATGATCAAACTGCTGCTGACGCGTGAACTTGCGCTGCGCTTCTCCTTCAATGGGATGGATGTTGGACGACTACCAACGAAGGTGAGCTTTAAGAAGCATGCTGCATACGAGAGAATAATGGATAAAATATATTGCAATATTAGTGAATGAAAAATATTGCCGTAGGATCAAACAAGAACCGACAACATTTTGCATGTTAATGTAAAATATTGTAATTCGTGTTATGATTTACATGAACGTAAGGGAATAAAATACGTTAATTTTTTTAACTGACCATTCTCAGCTTATTTGTTTTCTCTCTAACTTGTTTTAGCCATTCAGTAGTTCAAGTTATCATCATACAGAACAAATGTGGAAGAACCCCACCACCATTCCGACACCTGCCCTGAGGATCTCTAGTTACATTGCATCTCAAATACTGTCAATTTTGTTCACCTAATTGATTGGCCGTTGACAAAATTGTGCTCGTTACTTCAATTCGATGCGCATAATCATTGCTGTTCTGTCGTTTTACTTGCCAAGCTATCGAAATTGAAAGCTACAAACAGTAATATCTTATAAGAATTGAAATTAATATAGGATACCAAAATGTGATCACCTTTTACAGCCGCTCTAAAGAGCACCAAGTTTGCCACAGCCAAGAGACCTGACATCAATAGAGCGATAATGACCTCGCTCAAGAATGTGCCAGACTGGGAGGGCCACCGCGATCATAGATTACGCCGACGATTAGCAACTCAGAGACAAGCTGTCGCCTCGACTGCGAATACAACGCATGTGGATGCAGACCCTGGCTCTTCTCCTGACATAATGCCGGCAACTCCGAAACGTTGTTCACCACGCATTGCTAAAATGGCAATGGTCAATGACAACATTTTTCAAATATCTGACGTTTACGCGGGTGCAAAAAGGGTGTTGAACTCCGGCTCTTCTCCTGACATAATACCGCCAACTTCGAAACGTTCACTATGCTTACCAAAAATGGCCAACAATCAAGTATCTGACATATATGCGGGTGCAAAAAGAGTGTTGAACGTCTAAAAAAAATCGTACGTTGCCTTATCACTAACTACACTCGATGTGCCAGTGTTTCCTCCCGCCTTTCACAATTTTTGTTCCTCGTGTCACCTGTATAATTCAGGCTTTATTTGTGACAGTCAGCCACAGTCATATAATTTCCTCGAAGGAGTTGCCATTTTTTCTAGTCTGAACATCGGAAAATTATTTTTCCAAATTTTTCTAGGTGTGCTGTCCTATTTTAACGAGTTGTTGAACCTTCAATATAGTAAGTGCATAATGTGACTACCTTTTGATTCTTTAAAACAATGGAAAATTAGGTATCACGTTAATTCTGTAGGAAAGATTTTTGATATTCGATTATATTGCATCCAAAGTGGAACTATTAGCAGTGCCTTTTATTTTGTCTGTGTATTTTACTAGGCTTTGCTGGGTTCATGATCTTTATGACTGCTAAGAGTGACGATCTTTCCATTCGTTCAATCATCATGGAACCATATCTTTAACTTTATAAGTCGATGCATTTTTATTTTAAATTCAGGTCAACCTCTTGTTGTTTAACTGTTGGAGAGTGGAGTTGATTAGTTTTGATATTGACCTAAATGGTGCACTGATTTGTTATTATTGGTGCTAAATTGTCGTTTACGTACTTTAATGAAGTGCGAAAAGAATACCAATAAACACAAGTTGAATTAATCAACTATTTCACTTTATTAATTCTTCCTGATTATAATGATCGATTGTGTTTTCATAGGTTAGTAAGTTGGGAAAGTAGTCAATTATTTTCATTTACAACTTGTTCTAGATTTAACGTTAGTTATCATCTGATTGTAACACCATAAATACATCGGAAGAACAGAGCCGTGATTGCCTGAATATTCCGGCTCATTAGCTGCGTAGATAATCCGACATTACAGAAAATATGTCATTTATTTTGAACGTGGAAGGATGTTTGTTATCGTTGAATATGGGAGTATGTTCGGTGCTGGTGAATGTGAGAATGTAGAAAAAAGCGCCCCCTCCCTGCCTCACAATAGGGGGGCAGGGAGGGGGATTTTTTTATGGTCGCTTGTTAGTGTCGGCCGTGCCTGTCCCGAACGAATCAGGTACTAAATGCGCGCGCTTCACGATCACCCCAAGCTCGACAAGAATTTCACATGATTCTGTTTCGGCGCTTATTTAGCTCCGGCAACCGGAACCTAAAGTGGACGTATAGCTTCTAATTTATACCGCTGGACGCGATTGGGGCGCCCTTGTACCAGCGGCTGACAGGACTAAAAATTTCGATAGGGTTGCTGCCAAACGAGCTGATTACCATTGAGTTTATTCCGCATTAAATGGATATCATGTGGAGCTCATCTTTAACCTTACTCACAATCCTCCAATAACTCAATCCTGCTGTTCCGGCCCAAATCTTCGTAAAATGAGCTATGAAAGGGAATTGCCTTATGTGTGTTAATAAAAGAACACCCACCTTAGACATGCAACATGGTACAATATCTACAAAACGGGCGAGTCTTCGAGCATTTGTTTCCGCGTGTTGTCATTAAAGAACACATGACGCTGCCATTTGAGACTCATAAAAGGCATAGGAGTCCTTATTAACAATTTAACTTTCCTGCACGCCTGCTCAGGATTTTTATCCTTTGATGCATAAAAGAATTGCCGTCGCGTTGGAATATTAGATGAACTTCTTTGATCGTAAATAACAGAGGAGAATCTATTGCGCGTCGTTGCATGTTATATGAAATAATAAGAAACGCGACTGTTTAATCTGAAGATCAGTCTGCGGGAAATGTTCAAAGACATCAACGCAGGCAATATTTCTCTCGACTGTGTGTGTAGAATTAAATTACTGGGCCTTGCTAACATTTATTAAGATGTGGAATAAATGGTCTATAGGGTATCTGAGTTGGTCAGTTTCCCTTGATGCAATTAATTGACCTTGGCTGTCAGAAATTGTACAAGAAAAAATGTTAAAATTGTCAATAAATCATTTATCATTGTAAATAAACTTTTATCATTAATTCACAAAATGGTACCGTCACAGGCCATGGAGGCTCCGTTGGCAGGCGGGTCATCTGCCTGCATTAGAGCTGCGATGATGACTGTAAGTAACTACATGCAGGACCTCTTACTTTATTCATTGTTCAATTTATGTTCCATGCTAGGAAAAAAAATAGCTGAAAAATATCAAATTTGACTTTACATCGCGAAATAAAATTTCATTACATCGTAAACTTGAAGTACGAAACATTGAAGACTGAATATTTTCTTACAGCAATTTTCACCGTACCTGACAATCAAGGCTGATTCACCCCACGGTGCCGTTGGAGTACAAGTGGATGCTGTGGAAATAATTGCAAAGAAACTGGGGTGGTGGTGAGAAATTATGTCGAAATTGCTTTCTGCTGATTGCCGTCGGCAACTGAGATCAATTGACTAGCACTGTCACTTCACAATACTCGAGTATTCTGAAATGGCCGTAACAGGACTGACATGTCGGTTGCATCATAATTCAAACAGCACAATCCTAAAAAGAAACCTGCATGCATTTCAAAATACTTCAAAATTTGATACAATGAACTATTAAGGTTCACTAACGTATTAACTTTTGATACTTTCAGCATCATCTTTGAACCATCAAAGGCAGGTTACATGGGAGGCCTGCTGCCCAACAAAACCTGGGACGGCGCAATTGGTCAACTCATCCGCCACGTGAGAATTACATTGATATTCTCTCTATTCATAATATTGCGATAGCAGTTCTCTAGAATAGGCAATTTATAACGAAATGTATTCATTTAGGAGGAATTAATTGTAAGTTTAATTCCATCGAGATAATACGAATCAGTACTAGTGGTAACCGCAACTAAACTGATTAACAACCCTTAAGGATAGATAGATATTTTCCTCAATTCATACGAATTATTTCATTTATTCATTATTAATTTGCAGAAACATACTTCTGAAGACTAATTATTTGATCAATTAAAAATAATTGTTTGATTAGGGAGCAAGCTTAATCGATTTGTCGTGGGGCCCAGGGCTGCACCGCTTTGTTGTGCGATCTATATATGGCATGAGCTGCAACCCGTTGCTGGTATTCTGTACATTTTTTTAAAATGATCATCCGACCTTTGCTGATGTTTTGAAATGGTCTTTGCGGTTGTTTTGTACGATCATTAAAATGGTCATCAGCCCTTTTCAGTTGTTTCTTACTATCTTTTATATGATCATCAGACTCTTGTGTGCTATCTTCATATATATAAACTGTTGTGTGCTATCTTCAACTTGGTCATTAGCACGTTACCGGTATTTTGTACGGTCATTTGCATCATCATAATCACGGTGCTGTTATTTTATACAAGTATTAACATGATCTTCAGCCCGTTGCTGTTGTTCTGTACGGTTTTTTACATGATCATATATCATAGTAATGTAGGAGTTGAAGAATAGGCTTGACGTGCTATCAGCCCTTCGGAAAAGGCCGTTGTTTTGAACGTGCTATGACATATTCGTCAGCCCGTTGAATTTATTTTTAATGTATTTAATATGGTTTTATTTCGTGTACTAATGGTCACGCACGCTCACGGGGCGGCGGGGATGGTGGATGAAGAAGAATCATAAGCAGCTAGAGAATGGAGATGTCGAAGCCAGGGAGGCGCGGGATAAAACGCACATGGGCGTCGGGGCTCGTCTTGACGGTCGTTATGAGGCTCACCGGTCATTGTATACTCTTGACCGCTTGGTCCCTAATGAGCATTAACCACATCATAAACGTCGTGTTGGAGTCTTCCATTTTTATCGTCTCTGGAGCTCACTAAAGTTTTCCTGGCAAAACTTATTCTGAAATTGATCAGAAAGATACTTCACTTCCATGTTCTAGGTCTGATCGCGATGAGATCCTGCGGTTCCGAGTCATAAGCGATATTAGGCAGCGTGGCTTTCGTCTTGAGTAGAAGTGGAAGCGATAAAGGCAAGAATCTGTCCTGTCTGGCTGTACTGCCACTAAGGAATGGTGGAAAAAAACAAGAGGTGTCACAGAATGGCTGGAAGTAGGAAGAAGAAGTGGAAAATGCAGTAGTAAAGAAAAAAGATGCAAAGTGTATCATTAGGCTGATTGTAAGCGTGTGGGCTTGGCTGGGGTTGGGGCTGGGAGAAGATAATCCGCTGGAGATTTTGATGATGTACACGGGAGAAATGATGGAAGGCTAGTGGTTCATTATTTACATTGTTAACACATCTCAGTAGTATTCAACAAAAAGAAAAATTATTTGTACTCCTTATCGAATGATGTAGAGTCATTCTGTTTATTTTCCTTCATTGTTGTAAAACTTTTTTATAGTTTTAAGTTGAAAACGCAATGTTGGAGGTGATGGCAAGAACGATGATGGTGATGATGAAGATGGTGCGAGAAGCAAGCGATCATTTGGGTCGTCCGAAGCACTCCATAGAGGTATGAAGTTAACGACATAGAGGTATGGAGTTGTATAGTTTTATGGAGTTAGCGACATAGAGGTATGGAGTTAACGAAATAGAGGTATGAAGTCAACGACATAGAGGTATGGAGTTAACGACATATGGAATTAACGACATAGAGATATGGAGTTAACTACCCCTAGAGAAAAGTGTACAGCTTGTCTTAGGTATAATTAAGCTGAGCCCAAGCTGCAAAAGCGTCGCATCTAGGCTCTTCTAATACAGTATAATAAGCCAAATTTTCAGCTATTAACTGAGATTGGTCGATTCGGCCATGGTCGTGTTAAACAATATTAAAGGAAAATAATAACTTAATCAACGTTTTATCCCTAAAAGCGGGCCCTTCACTGTGTTATAGCACTCTAGTCACTCTCCCTACGCGTATAACTTCACTACGTTATTGTCCGACATTTAATAATATTATTGTTCAGCTCGCTTCATAATCGATACTGTGCTCCCATGCAGGTCAGAGAAATAGTTCTTGATATTTCTAATTTTTCCAGGTGAGAAATAGGGCTTTGCTAGACTAAGAGTTATAATATGCCTGTGATGTTTGGGTGAAGAGTATGAGGCGAGAACAGATTCAAGTTTGAAGTCGATTAATGAGCGTCTAACATTCAATGGCTATTTTTTTTGGGCCGTTGGCTCAAGGAGTTATCGTGATGACGAAGGGAGCAGGCCCTTAAATCAATCTTCGAAATTGAGGGCGGCGATCCAGTTTTGCAATATTGGCAGACTCGTTAATAATAAAAGATTTGTGCAGCGTCGCAATTGAGGGGATGTCTCTAAAACATGTCGTCTCTATGCCTAGGGGATGTCGTCGTATTGTCTCTAGAAAACTGCGAAGAAAGTCTTATTGCTTTCTCCTCTATCTTGGTGAAGTAACTGTCGCATCTCAACGCGTAAAGGTTGCTCGTCGCGCAACCATCGACTGAGTTCACTTTGCTGTTGCTGCAGAAATCTTGTAGCTACGCGAATGCCTTCACAACAGTTTTGTAATGAGATTTCATGGCGATTACTCCATTCCTGTTGTTTTGTTGCGATATTGAAATGGGGTCTAAGCCGAACTTTTTCACGGCAAGAATTGATAACAACCCGGCTTGTGGTTTTGTCAGGAATTCGACATGATTGTTTCCCCTTTATCGCCGAACTCTCCGCGGTACACGGTCATGGACTTCTCAGAGTTCTTATGGGCTGGGTGGCACACGACTATACAAAAATCAGGAAAACTCAAATCTGGTCAACAGACTTGGCTGAGCGTTCTAGCAACGTTTGTTGCTTTCGTCATCTGCTTCATCATGACGTTCAAGATGCGAGAGATTCTGTCTACAAAAGCCAGTTCAAAGTAAGACCAGTTCACCCAAATAAGCGTGAAATGGAGGAGATGAATTCTTTTCTATAGTGGAACAAATATTATATCCTCATCCAATTAGTTTCATTTAGAATTTCAATTCTGTTCAAGGAATGAATTCAAAATTTGCAATGTAATTTATCATATTGTTCCTGTTCTAACGATTGTTGATTGCAATGGGGAAAGTAACACATGCAATTGAGATACTACATTATTCATGAGAATAACATATTTTCCAAAGTATTTACTGATATAATAAGTGCTATTTTTCCCGTAGACGCGGCCAACACCGATTGTCGTCACGCGACGCCCGAATCTCCGCTTTCGCAGTGCTTAAAATTCTTATTAACCAACGTGAGCAAAAGTCAATGAGCGTCTGTTTCGTGCGATAAAGCAACGTGTTTCTACCTTAATTGAACCAATAATGTTGATCCGAGGATGCATGCAAATAAGCATGCAGGAGGATGCATGCAATATGACCATGTATCTGTAAACGTAACTGCATGGTGTGACTCGAACCGACTGACAAATCGTGATTCGGAAATTTCTTGTGTCTGAAAGTGAACTGCATATATAAACTCCTGTTGCAGCCCAGGAAAACGACGAACGCTTACCCCTGATGCGACTGTTGCTAATGACGACGATGCTGTGGGGCTTCCTTCTGAGCACTTTCTACAAGACCTTCCTCACGTCCATGCTTGTCCTGCCGAGGGTGGTCGAGCCCTTCAACAATCTCGAAGAGCTCGTTACCAAGAGGCCCATGCAGTACATGCTCTCGCCTGGGACTCTACTTAGCGCTATTGCCAAGGTTTGTTTCATATGTGTTGGCTTCAAAACAAGGCTCGAGAACCCGCTGCCCTGCTCCATTTGCCCCGTTCTTCTTGGGACACTGCGGTGTTGCTACCCCATCAAAAATTCAGGTTGTGGAGGAACATGTGCATTAAGGGCGTAATAAGACCTTTATAATAGAACGGATTCAACTATGTCTTATGAAACGAAGCTTTACCAAGCAAAGCTGCAGTAGTGTGAGCCTTGTGCTGTATCAATTCTGTTTCTGCAATTCTTAATTCATTGTTAATGTCCTCATTGTAAACTTGTGTCCTGGATACGGATACCTAGTTTCTAAATTTGTAAAATAAAGTAATAACTAGCACAAATAACAGTTTAATCTTTTTTTATAGTTTTGACATATTAATCTTGATTGGAAGGCTTGCAGTGTAACTGCGGTAAATTGCGGGTTTCCGCAGTGTAACTGCGGAAACCCTACAATATATCAGAGGAAGCGACTACCCGCAGAACTTCACGACTCAACGACTGCCGCTGAAATTTGATGATTACGGTTAAGGGTCGTATTTTAGACGCAACGGAAAGAGGATTTGATTTTTAACTGGATGTAAGTGTAGTTTTAGTGCACAGTCTTAACAACGGAATAGGTTTAATATAAAACCACTTGATTTCTTAAATCGCGTTTATCAGGAATTTAAAAACAAAGAAGACAGCCAAATAATTCACCATTTCTTGAGAATAAAAGAGTTTTGGAGTTCAGCTCCATCGTCAGTTCAATACCTATATGACAAACAGAATCAATTAGAAAATTAAAATTCACATTGAAGCTAAAAAAACCTAAAGTGACAAAAGAAACAAAAAAATCTGTCTTTTAGCATAAGAAATGTTTTTTTTACCAATCGTCCTGAATTTCTTGGCAACTTGCAAAGCCTAGCTTACCGTCATTTTTACGGTTTTAAATCTTATAAAATTTTCTCATCTGTTTTTCAACCCCGTGACACGCATTTGTTAAGGAACTTTGCCGAAAATAAGGACCTTATCATTTGCAAACCAGATAAGGTAAAGGGAGTCGTATTGGTTGATCGCAATCGTTGCAACAATAGCCTTTCTGTTCCCATGCATTACAGACCCTTCTAAATCTATCGAAATTACGGATCCAATTGCTAAAACTATTGTGAAGATTGAGGATAAAATTGATACTTTTTTAAGAAAACATAAAGATTCCGCTGCACTTTCCTTGCAAATTATTTGAAACTATGCCTCTGGCTCTTGTCCAGGTATTTTGTATGGCTTGCCTAAAATGTATAAGCCAGATTTCGCTTCGAAATTTCAGTTTCGTGCCATTTTTGCTGCTTATATAACAACACTCCGAGTTTAAAGATTGCTAGATTTTTGGTCCCGGTTGTTGAACTGTTTGACAACCAAGCAATATAGGGTAGACAATTCTTACGTTTTCGCAGACCGTTTTAAGAGCTTCACGAATGTTCAGGATTTAAATATGGCTTCATTTGATGTAGAGAATTTGTTTACAAATAAACCTCTCCATGAAACTACTGATATTTGCCTCAATTCATTGTTCAAAGAGATTAATGCCATAGTCATGGGTTTGAACAGCATTTTTTTAATCTCTTCTTGAATTGTCTGTTCTTCTTGTTTCGTATTTGCCGGCAAATTTTACAGACAAATTGACGGCCGGGGAACGAGTCTCCCACTCGGTCCTTTTTTTGCAAATATTTGCAATATTTGAGGCTAAAGGGATGGCTAATTGTCCTCTTGATTTTAAGCCTGTATTCTATAACCGATATGTCGATGATACTTTTTTACTTATAAAACATCCCTCTCATGTGGGCCTTTTCCTTGATTATTTTAACCTCAAACATCAGTCAATAAAATTCACCATGGAGTTTGAAACCAACAATAGTTTATCTTTCCTCGATTGTAATGTTACAAAATCGAATTGCTGTTTCCAGCCCTCTGTATTCCGGAAGTCAACGTTTATCGGCTTAAGCACCAGCTTTTTTAGTTTTTGCTCATTTCGTTTAAATTAAATGGGATTAAAACAATATATCATGGTTTCCGTATTTGCTCAGCATTCAATACTTTGCACACTAAACTTGAATTTTTGCTTAGCATCTTTTCACTAAATGGGTTTCCGTCGCAATTCGTTTATACTCGAGTTAAGAAATTCATGTCTAGGCAATATTATGAAGTTGTTCCCGATTGTGACAGAAGGAACCTGATTTATTGTTCTTTTCCCTACTTCGGTAATGCATTTGAGACTATATATGGCTAAAGAATTGAAATTTATGTTCAGCAAATATATTCCGAATGTTAATCTGCAAGTGGTGTTGGTGACCCAGCAGGCATCTGACGTTAAAACAACGTTGATTATTGGTTAATTTCGGGTTGAAATGTTGAACAACCAAAATTAAACGTCATATCAACGTCGAAATCTGACCAACACTAGAAGGG